GCTACCTGGCTTCAAGCACAGGCATCTGAGTACAAGGCCAGTCTGGTTTGGGTCCCAGGCTTCACACATAGGCTCCCCCGAGGTCTTGGGGAGGCCCTGAGTCAAGCTCCACTGCAGTCACGCTGACTGCCATCAGTCACTCGCAGCTGCCTTTGTCCCTCTTCCCTGTATGCCAGGTAGTCTGCAGGGGAGGTTGGCATTCCTAAGGTCCAGCTAAGGGCACACTGAGGGGGAGCACATTTATGCTGTACGCAGTGACCTCTGTGCACATCTAAGGGATTACCAGTGCATGAACTTTTTGTTGCTATGACCAAGATACTTGACAAGGGTGACTTAGAGGAGGAAATGTTCAGTTTGGTTCAGTTTCAGAGGTTTAGCAGATGGTGGGCCAACTCGATGGCTCTGGGCCCAAGGGGAGGCAGAAAAACATGGTAGAAGGGTGCTGCTCTGCTCAAGGCAGTCAGGGAGCATAGAAAAAGGGGGAGGAGCTGTAGGAAAGGCGAGCCCTTTAGGGCAGCCTCTAGTGACCCACCTCCTTTGGCCAAGCCCTGCCTGCCCACAGTCACCCCTCAGTCCATTCAAATTAGGATGGACTGATCAGATTCGAGCTCTTACTTCTTAATCATTCACCCCTGAATATTCCCCCACACATACAGGCACTTTTGGGGAACACCTCACATCCAGACCTTAACAACCAAGGATACTGCTATCACCCCGCATACTACCAGGGCTTCATGACATGGTGCAAGGCCAGGGGTCCTGAGGTGACATGAAATGGGCCCGATGGCAACTGGCAGGAGAAGTGCAGGGGCAGGGAAAAGAAGCCTGGGTGGACTGAATGCAGGAGCCAGATGCTCATCTGTGGACATCACACTCCTCCATGTGAACTGTAGCATACACGTCAGTTCTCCGTGGGCAAAACAGCGGTCTTTGATGTACAATTACCAGTACTACGTCTTGGATGTGCATTTTTTTTCTTCAATGAAATTGTGGAAAATAAATTGAATCAACTATGTTTCTGGAACTCAAGACTTTAGAAGTTACCACAAAAAACAAATGTTCTATATATGAAATAATGCCTTATGCATCCTAACAATAATAAAAACTCATCAACTCTGTTGGAGGAGTCAATGAAATCTGTTTTCTCACTGTCACACAAAAAGGCAACTAGTAACTCGGAGCCCAGAAAAAAGTATCATAGAAATACATCAGTTAACTATCAGACACGTCACTTTTCTCAATTATATCTGTATTACTGGTCAGCTTTTTCAAAACTGTACTAATGTATTTTTTCTCATGCTAAACAATGCATATTTTCTAGACTAATTTTTATTTGCAACTTTATATTTCTTTTTTAAAAAGACCACCCCCCCCCCAACCCTGCCAACTGTATGTGTTTCATACAGGGCCCAGAAACCTGATAGAATCTGAAATGCTTTTAAACATTTACTGAGCACCTCTTCTCAATCAAGAAGGACTAAGTGCTTAGGTGTTGAGGGCCACATCCGAGTCGGGGTGGCACCTGGCATTTTGCCAGAGGGAGTGGTTGAGAGGTGATACCAGCGAGCCATTGAGATGATGATGGTTAAGTTAAGCTGTGTCTTCAATTGTATATAGACCCCTGCTGTCCGCCTCGGGCGCCTGCTACTTCGGAGTTCTCCCGGGGATTCCTGAGGAGTTCGGGTTGGTTGGTTGGTGAAGTTCCGGTAGCGGGAGTTCCGGCTTGGTGTGTGGTGTTCCTGGAAGGGCCGCGTGGGTGGCCTGCGTGGGGAGTTTGGGCAATAAAGTAGTTCCTGTTTGAACCTACAAGTGCCTCCTGGCGGCTTGGTTATTTTGTGCCCAGCCAGACTGAGGCACTTAGGGATATAGGAGCTCCTAACAGAGAGTTCCCTCCAGTACAGTGGGCCAAGGTAAGGCAGTTGCTGAACCCGGAGGAAGCAACGGAGAAAGTAAAGCAAGGGTGGCAGAGAACAATCCCGCAGGTGGAAAGACTGGAGGAGGCCTCACCAAAAAGACCACAGGAAAGGCCTCAAGAATGTCCTGGCACTCCTGATGGCACCTACCACATCCTGAGGGGCCACCCCTGCTGGGAGCCCATGCCAAACCCTTTACTTACAATCTTTCTTACTACTGCTCACAATGACTGCACAGTTGGCTTTATTCCCACAGCTACAGCTCAAGGAACTCAGGCTCAGAAAAGTGAATGATTTGGTGCATACTCAGCTCCACAAGGAGCCTCAACCCCACTCATGGAGTGCACTGGGCACCCGGAGAGAGGTGTTTAACGCAGAGGCAAGTGGGTAAGCAACCAGTGCCACATGCTCACTGCAGTCCCAGACAGCCAAAAGAAAGGGGAAGGGGCCACTGCTAGCCTGACCTGCACTGGGAACAATGGAGTTCTTCCCAGGCGCTGCAGCGGGTCTGGGCCTCACAGGGATTGGGAAACCAGGTAGACAAAGGGCTCAGTGTGTGCACAGGCAGGTGACAGGCTGAGTGTGGTGGGGCCCCAAGACAACTGAGAGGACTGGGGTTGCAACCTGAGCTGGGCTGTGAGGACTCCAGTGGATCAGGGATGGAATCTAAGACATGAAGCAGGGTTTGCACCTGGGACGTGGCTTCTATTCTGAGAGGCAATCGGGAGAACGGGCTGGCCAAGGGAGGGAGGAGGTGAAGCAAGACTCATCATCGTACCCTACCACATTACTGTGCCCTTCTGCTTTTGAATTCTAAAATGGCAATGAACTAAAACACAAGTTTAGGGGAAAACAACCCTCTGACTAAAAAGCTTCTTACATCCCTAACTTCCTCCTGATCTTATCTATGTCCTCACATATTTTTTAGAACATAATAGTTACTGTATACCCCATTTTACTTTTTAGGTTAAGGCTTATTTTTTAAGCACATTTCTATGGATCAAAATGGTTTAAATTTTGCTTGGAGGAAGGACAGGAATGGGTTTGTCAAATTATGTTCACTGGTCAAAAAACGCTGGTTCGCTTATCAGATTGTTTTCAAAACTGGGATTCCCAAAGCAAAATCTTGATCACATACTGCTAGTTGCTCTCCACATATACCAGACTAGAATCACCAACATAAACATTCCCCAGAAAACTGCAAGCACTGGACTTTACCATATTAAGTTCTGTGGGACTCAGCTTCTCAACCTCCTTTGTCAAGGATGAAACCAGACAAAGATACTAATAAATGACTTAACACATCCTGATCTTTTTTTTTTTTTTTTTGGTACTGGGGATTGAACTCAGGGGCACTCGACCACCGAGCCACATCCCCAGCCCCATTTTGTATTTTACTTAGAGACAGGGTCTCACTGAGTTGCTTAGCGCCTCACTTTTGCCAAGGCTGGCTTTGAACTCTAGATCCTCCTGCCTCAGCCTCCTGAGCCACTGGGATCACAAGCTTGCGCCATGGCGCCCAGCAACACACCCTGATCTAAACAATGGAGTTCTGCCTGCCAGGGGGTACTAGGTTGTATGTACAAAGCTTGTGGTGAGTGAGTAAAAGGGGAAGCAGGTGAACTGATAGGTGAGCTGGTGAGGGGAAAAATGCACAGAGTGAAAATGTAAGCCGTATAAGAGAAATGTGTACTGTCTGGTGTGACCACAGGCAGGCCTCTTTGGAAAGAAAGAAGGAAACAGAATTCCTTGGGACCAAGTGGATTTAAACAGGCTCTTATGGAATGATCCATGCATTAATCTTTGCTTTGGCAACTGTGTTCCTTATCTTCCCTCTAAGCAAGGTAACTCAATTCTATGCTTTTTCAATGTTTTTTTTCCTTCTCTTGTGGTAAATAACCAGGGTTAGCCAATTCTACTGTCTACTCAGATGATTTTTTTTTTCACAATCACTGACATTTATTAAGCATCTACTATGTGCCAGGAACAATGCTTATAGATTTTTAAAATTGACTCTTACTCTTCACAAAGACCCTGTGTGGCAGGTAAATTTTGCACTAATTTTATGGATAAGGCAGGAATCAATTAATATATCTTATGTCAACTTCCTCTTTGGGAAAAGAACTGATAGAAAGGAACCTACTGGCCTATTAAGAACATCCCTGTTATGTACATGAGCAGAAAGTTCTGCAGTTCAGCCAAACGCACTGTCAGCATCCAGTTCAGGAGTGGCAGCCAAGTGGCGACCAGCCGGGGCAAAGGAAGGGCACAGGAGAACCAGAGATGGGTGTCGCCTGGCTTTGCAAACAACCCAAGGTGCCACCCTAATCCTGCTAGTCCACTTCTCTGAGCCTCCCTTTCTTGTACTTTAAAAAGGATTGTGAAACCTGGGCATGTCTCCTTGGAACACTCCAGGTGAACCGACTAAATAACAGGCACCCGTTCTACACATGTCTTCTGGGGTGCAGGGACTCGCAAGCACGTCACCAGGCCAGAACTGAAGGTCACTTCCTCTGTGTGTTCCCGCCTCAAACACCCTCTCCCATGTCACTGAGAAAAGGCGTCGCCGGTTACACCGCTGTCTACCCAGGCCGCGGGAAGTCACCTAACATTCCCACAGCGTCCTCATGGTAGCCAACAAACGCCCTTTCAAGACGCGGCCCTGGGACGCGGCCTTCCCACGGTGTCCCACTCCGCGGACACACAAGGCCCACAGACGCTCGCGCCGGTGACCCTGACCTTTCAACCCGGGGGGAAGGCCGCTCGCCCTGAGGGGCTCCACCTGGGGCTCCTGGCGGGGCTCCTGGGGGCCGCAGGTCCGCTGCGCGCGGCCGCGGGGGACAGCACGGCCCCGGCCCCGCCCCGGCGACAGACCGGTCTTGCCCAGAGGGACCCCTGACGAGCCGCCGCGCCTGCGAAGGCCTCAGAGACGGGCGTGGACTTTCCCCCGGCGGCCCGCGGGCCTGCCTAGGGCCTCGAGCCTCGGCCTCGGCCTCCCGTCCGCTCAGCCAGGCCTAGCTGGCCGGCCCGCGGCCCAGGCCGCCGCCCTCCCTCCGTCCGTCCCTCCCGCGCGCGCCGCGTCCTCACCGGGCCTGCCAGGCCTGCGCCGCCGCCCGCTCTCGACCGCTCAGCCGCCGCCGCCCCCGCGCCCCACGCCCAGCGCCCGGCTCCGTCCCGCCCCCGCTGCGGACGCGCAGCCGATTGGCCCGCGGGGCGCCGGGGCGGGGCTGGAACGCACGTCGAGCGCGGCACCCAGTTCTGATTGGTAAGGCGACGGGGAAGGGGCGGGACGAAGGGGACACCGCGGTCGGCCGCAAATCTCGGCCGAGCGTTGGCTCGCTGGGCGGGACCTCACCCAGGCGGGGCCTCGGCTAGAGTGGACTCGGACCTGGGCGGGGCCTCGGCTCAGCAGACGGAGTTGGCGCTGGGCTGTGGGTCTCCTCCGGCTAGACCCTCCTAGCTTCCCCACCCTCTTCCCCAGCTCTGGCCGCCAGCCTCCTTCCTAACCCAGTCCCGGGGCACCCCTCTGGGGCCACTGGACGGGGGCCCAGGGATAGTTGCAGCCACTGAAGGGCAGCACAGAAGACAGGCCGCGCGTCGACGGAGGCCTGAGATACTGCCACGGGGACCTGCAGTCGCCCTCTGGCCTTGGGATCCCCACCAGGGAGTAGAAATGGAGACCAGACCCTCAGTCTTCTATGCCTGCGACTCACAGCAGCGCTCTTCTCCCTGGGGATTAATTAACATGGCAGCCTTCAAGATCTTGCCCAAACTTGCAGCTGTCCTCGCACTTATACAGTCAAGGGACTTAATCCAGGGGCCACCTGCAAGCTTCAAGTGAGTGCTCCGGCTTTGTGAGGGAAACCCAACCATTTCCCCCAGGACAAGATGGGAGGAACGAACCCTTGCTTCTAGCGAGGCAGCCTCGGGGTCCGAAGACCTGAAGGATGCATGGAAATTGCTGAGCGGTCCGATTACCCCAGTGTCCCCCATGGCCAGAACCACTGCTCCAACCTAGTGACATAGCTGGCTCTGGCTGTGCTGGCAAAAGGGAAGGTGAGGAAGGGGTGAAGGAGCCAAGCAGGCAAGGAACCGGAATGGCCAGAGCTTCACTACTCAGGGACTCAGTGTGCCACTCAGGAGGAACTGGCAGGAGGACAGGGGCCGAGCAAGCCCTCAGATGATGGGGGTCAGTGAGCTGCCCATGGGGCTTGAGGCCTGGGCTTGGAGGCACTCAGCCACCCAGACCAGGATCAAGTCCAGGTTTCCAAAGTTTCCTTCAATAAAGTTGTAGAGAATTCACAGTATCTCTCTTAAAAATGTACAAGAGCCAGGTGCAGTGGTGCAAGCCTGTAATCCCAGCAGCTCTGGAGGCTGAGGCAGAAGATTGTCAGTTCAGAGCCAGCCTCAGCAACAGCAAGGTGCTTAACCACTCAGTGAGACCCTGTCTCTAAATAAAATACAAAATAGGGCTAGGGATGTGGCTCAGTAGTCGAGTGCCCTGAATTCAATTAAAAAAATAAAAAAATTGCCATAGAAATTTCTTCTTGGATACTTTCCCAATAGTCATCTATCTCTACAGTTAGTAATAGTTACTGCTATATCTTTTGATACAACGTGTCAGTGACCACTTATCCATCTTATCAGTGCTAATTCTTACCAGGTGATCTCCTACTGTCTGTACAGATGATCTGATCACCTTAAATAGTTCCTGTACAGTCCACCTTCTTTTGGGCTGGGATCTCTAATGTGAAGTTATCCGGTGCAGATGCTGTTGATAGAATTCTATCAGCTTCATGATTTATACACAGATGCTTTGGGGGCTTTGCATAGTCCCCCCAAGACCTCACGCCTTCCCTTGTAAAGAAGCAGTGATGAGTACTATCAATATTTAAACAATAGTGCTTTATTTTAAAAAAAGGTTAGTTTAAATGCATACAAAATTGCTGTGTAAATTGATCTCAAAAATATTTCTATAGGTAAGATTATCTCAGTAAGAGCAATTATCTAGTAGAAAAAGTGTATGTTTAGATTTGGACAACAAAATAAAATCGGATTCAAAAGAGTGACACCCTGTAGACCTCCTGGCCCACACCCCACCATCAGGTGGCACCTAGCACTAAGCAGCACTTTAACCCAAACACACAGGGCTTACACTGCTTGAAAATGCTTTTAGTAACTTTTTCCATAACTGTCAAGATAACCCAGATCATCGACTGCCTTCCAGTGGTCTGGAACTGATCGTGATAATGTGAGGGGCAAAGCAGGCGGGAAAACGGAGCCTGCTTTGCCCTACAAAACAAAACAAGCCCTCCCCCAAATCACTTTCTCTCATCAAACACTTTCTTCAGTTCAACTCCTCCTGTTGCAGCAAAATGAAAAGACTGAGCTGGCTTGCTCCCTCTGTAACCGTCATCTCTTGTCCCATCCCTCTGGGGTCAACTCTCCTGGCGCTGGGAGAAGTGGAGAGAAAGTGTCTGCTGAAGAGTCCCGCTGGCAGCAGGAGGAATGGGAAGGGCAGGAAAGCTAAGGCCCCACGCACAGCAGGACACCCAGTGTAACTGGTGGACACCTGTCTAGCAGCCTGCAGGACAGACTTGAAATGCCTTTCATTCTAACACACAAGATGAAGGAAAGACGATGGCTGAAAATAGGTGAGACAGTCATAATGACCCCGATTAACCATTGCTGAGGTGGGTTATTTCACACTTGCAGTTACAGAAATACATGAAAGTGCAGTATAAAATGTCTAAAAAATTGGATTCTTTAAAAATTTTTTCTAGTTTAGGTGAGAAAAAATAATTTTCTGACTCTCACTGTGCCAAGAAGCTTGCAGCAGCACAAAGCTGGGGTTCACTGCTGCGCTCTCCACAGTGTAGCCCAGCAGCGTCTCCAGCGCCTACAGGACGAGTGTCCACAGGGAGTTCCCTGCACAGGTGTTAAAAATGACCTAGCATCAGAATCCAAAGTGCTCTTCAAACCCACACCTAAAGCCTGTTTTTAGAAGTTGTTCAAGTGTAAATGTATCTCTTTAGGTGACTCTGTTTTCTACTTGGTTAATAGATAAATGTGCAGATTAACAGTATTGAACTATAGCAGCAAAACTGGTTTTAGGTGTTTGTTGTGCACAAATATAAAATGAAGGAAGAGTCTCCATGTGGAGCGACTGCACAGCTTTCTGTCACAGGCACACGTCTACCACCAAGGAACACTCCTGGTAAATCTGAATGTTCTAGATGTCAAGAGTGCTCAATGACTAATCAGGCCAACTAAATCAAGGGAATTCAATATTAATTACACACTCTGATACTTGGAAATCAATTCTAATATTAGTGGTTAGTTAAGGAAGAAAACAAAAGTGAGCGTTTACCTCATGAAGTATAAAGTATAACATAGCAGTGAAATACAAATGTTAAAAGTACTTCATACAAAACACACCAATAGTTTAAAAAAATTAAATTCTCAGGCACAGGTATTGTAAATGTGGATGGGCACCCTTCTAAGGATCTTATGGAAAGTTGCGATGTGGCATTCATCAGGAATGTGTTCTTCTTTGTATCCAAGAGTGTTTTCTGGAAAAATAAAACAGATTTAAGAAGGAATGAAGCAATGCTTGCTGCTTTGGTCACAGACAATACTATTTCTTTGCACATCAAAGGGCACAGATTGAGCAAAAGGATGGGCTTATAAGACCCGAGTTATCTAAATCAAGATGTCAATATGCTGAGTGTGGGGAAGCACTCCTGTTATTCTAGCAGCTCAGGAGGCTGAGGCAGGAGGACCACAAGTTCACAGCCATCCTGGGTAACTTACAAAGGCCCTAAGCAACTTACCAAGACCCTGTCTCAAAATAAAATGTAAAAAGGGCTGGTGGTGTGGCTCAGTGATTAAGTGCCCCTGGGTTCAATCCCCGATATCAAAAAAAAAAAGGCATTTGTGAGACTCTTGGAACGTGGAAGCACTGAAAAACTGAAAAATACCCAGTGGGCTGGGGATGTGGCTCAAGCGGTAGCGCGCTCGCCTGGCATGCGTGAGGCCCGGGTTCGATCCTTAGCACCACATACAAAGAAAGATGTTGTGTCCCCCGAAAATTAAAAAATAAATAATAAAAAATTCTCTATCAAAAACAAAACAAAACAAAACAAAAAAACAACCCAGAAATGAAAATGTCCACGACCTCATAAAGTTTCTACAAGGGAAGCAGCCAGACCAGAGACCACAAGCAAGCACTGTCATTTCCTCCTGCTCAAGGGAGTCACTCCTGGAGTCCTGGCTTCTCTCCATGAGTCCTCGCTCTGGTCAGGTGCAACCCTGGTCACACAGAGCCAGATTTTGGAGGCAAGAGCCCCGTTCTAGTGAGATGCCCGTAGGCTAGGCACGTCAGACCCTTGCAGCAGTTCTGACTGGGGACTCACAGAGGTTCCCCAGGTGATGAGAGGGCAGCGACACCCAGCCAGGTTCGCGTGGACAGACACTGCCTTTACAGTAACTTGTCAAGCCAGTCATACTGCCTTTTAATTCACATGCTGTTCAACAAACCTTCCCCAGGAAGCTGCAGAAGGCAGGGGCACTGCTTTAGTGACCAAAGACCCAGCAAGTCCTCCTGGCCCTTCCGTAGCCACCCATCCTTCTGCTGTGGAGGTCTGGGGAATCCTTGCTTTCTGTCTTACCTACACACGTTTCAGCTAATGTTATGGTTTGAATGTGAGGGGTCTCCCAGAAGCTCACGAGAGACAGTGCAAGAAGGTTCAGAGGAGAAATGACTGGGTTGTATTAGCGCAATTGGTGAATCAACCCCCTGTTAGGGATCAACTGAGTGGTAACGGAGTGGTGGGGTGTGGCTGGAGGAGGTGGATCCCCAGGGGCATGGCTTTAGGGTATATATTTGTATCTGGTAAGTGGAGACCTCTCTTTCAGCTTCCTGATCACCGTGTGAGCTGCTTCCCTTGGCCACACTCTACTGCCACGATGTCCTGCCCTACCTTGAGCCCAAAGAAATGGAGCTGGCCTTCTATGGACTAAGATTTCTGAACCGTGAGCCCATTTAACTTTTCCTTCTCTACAGTTTTTGTTGTTGGGTCCTTTTAGTCACAGCAGTGAAAAAGCTGAATGAACAGCTAAACTCCATGATT